AAACAATGGGGCCATTAGTAAATTGTAATAATTGGAGATGGCTGTAGGTTAAAGTTGCAGCTGAAGAAGAAATTAAACAGTTGAATCGTTAGTTTTCCTTCCTGTGGGTTCTGATGTGTCGTAAGTCTGAAGCTGATCCGGTCCTGTTTGTCTGCAGCTGATGAAGTACTGGGAGGCGTTCCTACCTGAAGCTAAAGCCATCGCCTGATCCTGGACGACAAACACGCTGCCTTCTTCTGATCCACTTTACCTCTTCTGCCTTTAAACCAACAACAATCTGTGCGTTGAAAAGGGAGAGACAATCAAACTGTCTTTTTTTTTTTTATCAACTTAAACTATAAATCTATATTCTATTGTATATTTCCATTTAACCTTCCACAAATATTTTCTTATGAGAGCAGAAGACGGACTTATAAAAAGAATGATTCCTTTTGTTTCCGACGAACTCTCGGCTGCGAGGGTTTCCTCCTTCGGCTGATCCTTCGCAGCCGTTTGTCGTTTAAAGGCTGTTCCTTCAGCTGATGTTTCTGTGGGCCCAGATGAAGGTGGCCAAGATTCTCTCGTTTTGTTTTTGTGTTTAAAAAGGGATTAAAAATGTTTGAGCACTTCCTACAGCTGATTGATGTGCTTCAGTTGCAGCGTTTGTTTTTCCTCACGGAGGTCGAAGGTGGAGCGGAGAGGCGTTGCCTTCAGACTCCAGCTGAACCGGCAAACATCTACTGAAGTGAGTTTCTTCCACCGTTTTCTGGATGAGGAGCTGCTCGGTTGTGTCAGCAGAACGTCTGGCGGACACCCAACATGCTGACGAGTGCAGCGGGAAGATTAGGCAGGTTGGTTCTGGGAACTTGAGGCTGTCGGGACACGTTTGAGGGTTGAAGGATTGTGGGCGACGCCTCTGAAACAACGGGTGAAGGCGCAGCTCGTCTGCTGGTCACGGTGTGGGGGCTGTTCGCCCTGGTGCCAAAGCGTTGCAGGCGTGCGCACGTCGAGCCGCCGCACGTTCTCCGCTCCAGTCGTCCACATCTCTCCCACGTTTCGTTGCTTTTTTTTTTTTTTTTTTTTTCAGAACCGCTGTCGTAACGTCGCTTCAGTTTCCTGCTGAAGTTCTTTTCCTTCGTCAGGAAACGGTTTCAACATCAGAGATGAACTCTCTGTTCACAGAAAAGGAAGCAGAAGTTGGAACGTTTGAACTTTTTTTTTTTTTTACTCCAACTTTAGTGATGTAATGAATCAAACGACTTCTCTGAGTCGGGATCCAGCTCTGATGGACACGTGATGTGAAACAGGAAGTGGAGATAAGAATGTGGATGTTTCCAACGCCAGCTTTAAGGCCCAGTTCCAAACAGGAACTCTAATGGTGCACTAAACGTTCTGTGATTGAAGACGCCCTCTCACTTTATCTTTTGGACTCCGTTCTGACCGTCTAATCATTAAACTGTCCTCCTGCACAGCATGTGACTGTCACATGTCGCCTGCACAGATTTCTTTAAAATAAATCGATGTTTACTCTGACTGGGCTTTTTTTTATTTCTCAATCTGAGCGTTTCGTTTTAAAGCAGCCTCTGAACGGAAGTCTTGATTAAACCCAACATATAAAAATGTTACTCAGGAGGACTCGTCTACAAACATCAAGTCCCGGCTGAACTTTTGTACAGTTGAATGTTCAGGTCGGTTTGCTGCGACTGGTTAATCAGCCTCTTGTTTTGAAACCAGTATCGGTACTGGATGACCTGACCCAGGAGGTCCACAAACCAGTGTTGTTTATCAGTGTTGGACCTCCTCGCTCACCTCATCCAGACCTCGGCTCTGAGAACTCCTGGACCTGAAGCGTCTTTGAGTTTTTGTTCAGACGGCTGCAGCTTCTTCAGGTTGGACGGTGCTGCTCGTGTCCATCTTCAAACCAGAGTCTCAGCTGGATTAAGGTCCAGGTTTGATCTGGACTGGTGATTCTCAGGACAAAAGGACGTGGACATCAGTTTCTAACAGAAGAGGTTTGGCTTCTCGTCCGAGGAGCTTTCTCCGTTCAGAGTGTGGGGTTCAAGTTATAAACCTGAGGTCAGCTAGATGCACATGCTGATCGATCCTCACAGTAGAGGATCGTTAAGGTCTTTGTTGGTCTGAGACCCAGAGGAGCCACTGGTCACATGGACGATGGGACTGAAACTGGTATTAAGTTTCTGAGACCTCCGTTTCTCTGTTTTACATCAACGCCTTCGTTCTCCAGTTTATCCAGCATTTCTCTGACCAGTTCTTCTCT